TGTGTGTGTGTGTGTGTGTGTGTGTGTGTGTGTGTGTGTGTGTGTGTGTTTATATGAATAACACAGGTGGCCTTAGTTATAGTAATAGTTTCCATAACAGTAGTTAAGCTCTGCTGACGTTTCTTTTAAAAAATAATAAATAGTCACCTCATGAATGCAGGTTTACATATGCAAGTGTTTTCTCTTTCTTCGCATAACTGTCATTTTCTGTGTGAAGAATTGAGTGTGACCCCATAACATGTCTGAAAGCCTCCACCACCATCCCCACAATAACCACTAATGTGTCTCACCTCACTCTTCACCCCCCACCCCTTCGTGTGTGGCCGCTCAGCTTTGCCTTGCAAACTACAGTCCCCTCAATCATTTCAATGACACCACTGCATTTGCACAAAAGGCCTCAAAAAAAAAGGTAGATGCCTGTAGCTCATCCTTGGGTTTCTACATTTCACCTGGCAAAATGAAAGGATTGTGACCATGATAACTTCCAGAGCAGTAAAATTCTGTCTCATTTCAAAACCTCCCATTAGCGTACTGGGCACAGTAAAAACAGCTGCTCAAATATGTAAGTGTGCATTCACACCTCAACCACTCTGCCATTACGACCCTCACTGTGGTCAAATCTGTTCATCAGGATTTAAGAACTCTGCTGCCACCTTCTGTCTGCAGTTATCAAGTGCACCCAACACTTTTACTGCCACACCATCACTCTGGTAACCTGGCTGCAACCCTGTCTAATGAGACCAGAGGCATCTGTGGGTTCATCTGGGCCAGACCAAGGGGAGAAAATTATACATCGTTGTGTTCTGGTCCGGTTCCTGTTCACACCGACTTCTTACAAGAGGAGTAAACTTGACGTTATACAGACTGACAGGGGACTTGTTGATTGGACACACTTTTTAATGGACGTGATGAACTGACAAAGTCGGATACAACCAGTGGCGGCCGTGCATTTTATACCTGGGCCTTCAGTGCTGTCCTACTACAGTTCAACCACCTCCTAATAACCTCATGATGGCGCCACAGCTACGGGTTATTTGTTTCTAGGGGTGTAACAATACACGTATTCGTATTAAACAGTTCGGTACGAGGCTTACGAACCGAACAATACGTTTGAATAATACTAGTGCATTTGAAAAATGCAGAAGCTTAACTTGTGGGAAATATAATATTTTCGGTGGAGCCACTGTGCTCAACCTGGCAACCCACCCAACGGGCTGTCTGACACGCCCACCACGGAAGAAAAACATTGCACTCTGGTGATGCACATGTGTTCTGGGAGGCTATGCTAAACTAGCTTAGCAGGAAAACAACAGCAGCACACAAGCTACAAACTCCCCGCAGCGTTTAGCTGTTCCCTACTGACTCTTACCAACAAGTTGCAAGAACCGTCGGAGGTCGGTGCCCCACCTCAACCGTCGGAGGTCGGTGCCCCACCTCAACCGTCGGAGGTCGGTGCCCCACCTCAACCGTCGGTGGTCGGTGCCCCACCTCAACCGTTGCTGGTTAATGCCTAAAATCAACCGTTAGTACTAGTACCAATGAATTAAAACAAAAGCAGCCCTGCTAACAATCGCCTCCCCTCTTTGTCTTGCAGGAGTCTGCCACTGGCCAGGAAGGGCGCGGTGTCCAGCGCTCTGTACATGGCCTGGCTGGAGGTGTTGTCCAAGGACCTGCCTCCCATCCTCCTGGTGCGCGGCAACCACCAGAGTGTCCTCACCTTCTACTCTTAAATACACACGGAGAACAAAAGTGTTTAAGTCTCACATCCCTTCTGCTGCCTCTGGGAGCAGACACACACACACACATCCCAGCTCCAGTCCAGACCTAAGGTGCACCACATACACTCCAGAGACGATAAAAAAACACAGCCACTGATGGAAACAACGCTGGTAATATGAATAAAAGTGAAGGAAGTGATATTGGTTGGAGATGTGTAAAAGCGTGGGGGGTTGTAAGGTTGCCCACTCTGCTCCTTTCTTTCTATTTATTCCAAGATGTCTGAGTTTTTTCTCTTGTAGCTCTAGTTTCTCTATTTCCTTATGACATTTTTTCATTTTTGACAAAGTTGATTGCTCTCAGGCTCCAAAGCAGTCACGCACGATGTTCTCATTGTCGTTCTCACAATATGGAGTATCTTGATGTCATACTCGTCACGTTAATTTGACCTTTTTCTTTTCTTTTTTTGTGATGCAGCAATAATCACCCTGTTGTTATCGTTAAAATTTGGGAGAGAACCGTGCAGAATGCTTTGCAACACCCTCTAAAGCCTTATGGATGTGCCTTCCAGTTGAATCAGATGAAATAATTATAATCTATCCAGATTGACAATATTACCTATTATATTAGTGAATACTAGTTTAGTTATATTGAGTTTTAAATGTGACTCCTTAGTGGGAGCATTGTATTTATGCGAGTGGATTGCATGGATTTAATGAAGGGTGTCCACTTGATTGCATGAAGACTTTCTGTCATTTCTCTTTTCACCCTGATCAATAAGTTTATTTCGGGCCATAGCGGTTTTTCATTATTTTTTATTCACCTTTTGAGTCTTCCTTTTAAAGCTGTTGAATATTTACGATAGCCTTGTCTTTTAGGCGCTGTGCCTAAAAATGTTGTTATGGGTCTGAAATTTAAGATCTTCTTGTTTGTGAACGTAGTTTTCCCACCAGCCTCGGCAGGTGGAGACACTCTCCTGACTGACTGAATGAATGAAGGCTCTTTTTTTTTTCTTTTTTTTTTTTAGCAACTTGTGTGTTTCTGTGTCCACATGTATGGTTCTTCCCCTGAGTAAGAAACTGCTCTACCCAATAAGCTAGCTAAAACCTTGCCTTAATGCTAGAACTAACGATTGTCACGAGTTCCTTTTCTCTTATAAGCCATACTGGCTGGACAGTTTGTGGGTAAATGCAGATAGCGACCCGCTGGTTACATGTCACGAGAAGTGTTTCAGCACAGTTGTTCTTCTTTACTGTATACGCATCCTTATTTCCTTCCCGTAGTCCACCTGCATTAGTCTGTTACATCGCTTGCTGTGTGCTGCTGGCGAAGTGGTCACTCAACAGATAGTAACGGGCACCACTTTGCCAGAGTTGGTGCCACAGCAGACTTGTTGCTTGTTTGCCATCTGCTGGTCTCCCGTTCCTATGAAGCCTTTGATGGGCAGAGAGAGCGACCGACACACGAGCTTCACACTGGAACACTTGCTGGCAGGAAGAATGTGACTTTAGATTGTGTCATGGCTGAGTGAACATATACCTCTATGCATATGAGCTTGTTGCGAAATTCCTTGTAATAAAAGTCCATGTCCATGTGAACGGATCTACTCGCCTTAGTTCATGTAAAGGGGACGTTAGGCACCGGCTTGTAGCCTTTTTAAGGGCACCACGGCTCCAAGAAAGGCCATGTCAACCATTTACTATTTCAAATGGCTCAACGTTATCTCCCTGTTCTACCATCGTCATATAGAGATTATTGTTTTGAACAGTTAGTGTGGAATATTTTCAGATGACAACACAGCTCTGACATCGTGCCAAATTTGAACTGGTTTCTGCTGTTACAAAACAGCAACTGCTACTTTTTGGAGGTCTAAAGTTGTATTTATTCCAAAAAGTGCATTCAGAATGAATGTAAAGTGAAATTTAGAAGTCCAAACATTGCTTATAAAATCAATTCAAAGGAGCACTCCTCCACAGCCCACAGTCCAAATATGGTCACTTCCGCTCACTGGTTGCAAAAACCAAGATGGTGACGGCCAAAATGCCGAATTTAATGCTTCTAATCCGTAGTCTACAAAGCAATGATTAATGCTTATTTCCAATTCATGATAATAGAGAGACAACTAAAAAAGAAGTTGTCTTTAGAAAATACGGAATGAACAGGAAGTTGCTATTTAGTTTGGTAATCAGATTTGCTAGCTAGCTTACATTGAACGGCTATAAAGACCAGTAAACAGACATCAGATAATTGAAACAGTTGAGCGATATAATTTGCGTTATTTAATGATTTGTTGTCTGAACACACCTTGAGGTCAGTGGTGCACATAAATGTTCTATAAGAGTATAGCCCTGCAGAATGAATACTTCCATTTGATTCTGGAAGACATAAGATGTCCGGGGTATAATCAGGAAAATGTTTTGCTAAATGCAGCTCTTTTTTTCTTTTTTTTTTAAAGGAAATAAGTGCACAGCTCATGACAGCAGCTAACAGGAGAGTAAAACACAAAAGAAGAAAAGCTTTATCATGGTTCTAAGTTACAAACTGCCACAAAACTAATGGAATAAAACAGGGTTCTATTCACTTCTAATGTACTTTTATTTTTCTGCGTTTCTCCCAAAACATCTGGCTCGTTACTTTAATGTACTCTGTATGCAATTTCAAAAGAGGAGTGTCAACAAAATGCTTAGGTTAGCTAAATGTACTGTATAGTAATGAACACTCCCGCTCGGAGTTAGCATTCCTAGTCTCCTGTTTTTCATCCTGTATATTTCCTGCATCGGTTGCAGTTGGCGCGGTGCGGAACACCGTTAGCCTTCATGCAGCTGCATCCCATCATTGCTCTGTGCTTCACCTGCAGAATGTGCAGGCCGGATGTGCATACCTATGTATGCGTGTGTGATAGTTAGTAGTACATAAACACTAACTATATGTCATGCTCACCAGTGAATTGAATACAAGTTAAGTTCTTTCCGGGTATGTGAAAAGCATGCAGTGGGTGAGGAACTGTAAACCTGTTGATTGAAGGCCCAGTCAAAGACGACCCCTGGTTGAGTTATAGCACCCAATAGCACCCCCAGAACCTCCTCACAGCTCACTGTTGGTGTTGGTGGAGGTCTTTGGATAATTAGGAGGATAATTAAATGCGGTCGACCCAAACGGTCCAATCAGATCCATCCGGGTATTACACATGTTGACAAACAGATCGGGATACTGCCCGACCCAATCAGAGTGAATCAAATTGTATTTCTTGCACCCGTACATGTTAATGTGTTTAAACTGTAAACGCGAAGTATACTCGGCCCTGACTAGGGACTAACAGTCCAGACGCCACCTTTGCTGCTTAGATTTTCTCCATTTTAAAAACTTTAGGAAAGCGCAGCACTAAATCCCAGAAGTGCCACTCTTAATTGGCAGCGGCATTCCAGAGTCACAGTTCGATTGCTGTTTGCCAACATTGCATCACTTCCTGTTGGTACAACATGGTGAAGTCCATTGATCTCTTGTGTGCTAACGACTAAAACAAGGTTCTGACCTTTGGGGGGCGCGATTGTGCACTATGACAAAGTCCAGGAGTGTGTCTTTAAACTCCATTCATTTCAGTCCTGCTGTGAAGCACTCCCTCTCCTTGCTGTTACATAGCAACAATATTACACACAAGAACACGGGTTACTCTATATTTGTACATTAAAGAATCTATATGTGTGTGTGTGTGTGTGTGTGTGT